TCATTATACAGTGAGTTCTGCTATAACGCGTGTTTTGATAACGCGAATTTGCTCTAACGCGATTTATGAATTAGGAACGATATTTGTATAACGCGAACGCTTGTTTGCTATAACGCGATTTTTGCTTACTATTTCTCCAATTTTGTGGTACAGTGGGGTATGCTATGACGAATCTAATTGGTTCTAGAACCTTGTTCGTTATAGCATTCGTTCGTTATAGGATTAATCCGTTCCAGGCCCCCAAATACAACCACTTAACACTGAAAAATATAATATAAAATTGTAAAAATTGTAAAAAAGTGCATAAATATGCATCTAAACCCCTGAAATAAAGAATATCATTAATATTTGTAATAAAAAAACAATAAATTAGAAAAAAAAAAATTAAATAATGTTCGTTGTAGGAGTTTCGTTCGTTATAGCATTCTCAATTTTATAGGTAAAACCGTTCGTTATAGGAATATTCGTAGTAGGATCCATTCGTTATAGCATACCCCACTGTATTAACTGTGAATATAGTAAAGAAGAATATCAACAAGAAGCGTTCTGGTGATAGAATTCCCGGTGATGATCGTAAAAGAAAGGATATAACACTTGAAGAGAAGCTCGGTGTTATCAACCTCAAAATCACCCTTCTCCCTCATCAAGTTATATTCATATTTTTTCAAGGTAAAGTGTTACATTTACTGTATGATTTCATTATTAGATATGAATGTAACATTTATTTAGACTGTGCTATCCTTTGTGTTAGGCTAACTACTAAATTTTTTTCGATTTCGAGTAGTAATCTGCACCTAACCCTATTTTCCCCATAAGCCCTGTTATTTCTATTACGCGATTTTCTATAACATGATATTTTACAAGAACACAATTATCGCGTTATAGCAGAACTACCTGTACAGGTCCACCACAGATTTTCCGGCACCCTTGTTTCCAAAGCCTTGCCGAATTATCCATTTTGCCAGACCAACCAAAGTCAGGTAATGATAATTCAACAATACACCTCTGACCCGCTAATTATACGCCTCCCGTGTCTCTAAAGCACCATGGACTGCTAGAAACTTAAATTAAACAAATATTAAGTATAAATTGAATGTGAAAAAACATAATTTTGAGCAACATTACTGTACACACTTGTACTGCACTAGACTTAAATTGTTATCTCTATGTGATGTTTATACAGTACTACTCAAATTAATCACTATCTTACAAGGATTCCAACAATGCAATTTATATTCTGCTAAGTCTAGTCAGCTACATTTTATAAGATAAAAACTTTAAGCCTAAACTACCTTCACCTGGCTGGGAGGGAAGTTAAGTGCCCTCTCATAATTTTTTCCAGACTAAAGGAAGTGCCGGACCATCAGTTCCCGGAAAATCAGTGGTGTACCTGTACTGCACTCATATTCTCAGACACCTTGAAATAACATTTTACTCAAGTGATCAATAGTTTGATTTCTGCAATGGAAGCACTACTGCTGTTATTCTATCATTCCCTGTATTCATTCTGAGACCCATGCACTAAACCGTTGGTTCCCAACCTAGGGGGCTAAAAGTGCTCTAGGTTTCTCAGTTTTATGTTTTTTTTTTCTTGGAAATACTGAATTTTCTCATAAACACATGAGCTTTGATGGTTTTGATTAATTATTAATCCTATAATTATCTAGAATCCTTGACTTCCATATGGAACTATTGAAAATTTTCTCTCTTTGGGGATGGGGAGTGCCATGGATACAGGGTTGACCAAAGAGGGATGCTGTGCCAAAAGGGTTAGGAACCACTGCACTAGACCTTGACATCTCCAAAGCATTTGACAGTTTGGTACTGATCTTTACTTGAAAAATTATACCGTTTGCCCTTTCCTCCTTATTTTCTTTAAAGTCTTTTATTCTGTCTGGCTGCTGAGTGTGTGTAGTTCTGGACAGTCTTTCTCTCTCTATCAGTCTATTATTGCCAGGGTCCCTTAGGGTTCTGTACTTGCACTAACTCTGTGTTATGCATTAATGATCTTTCAGGGGCAAATAACTCTAGCCACTCCCATGTAAATGACTCAATCCTCCATACATTCTTCTCTGACTGACCTAGTATCACTTGATGAAATTTTGATAACCAGACAACAGACATCTTCATCTTTTTAGCTAAGTGAGATGCATCGAACTAGGTTTCCTTCAATGCTCCTCTGACAAAATACCATACATAATATTTAAAGAGAGGCATGATATCACACAATTCAACACAGATTTTGATAATACAGCACCATCATCCTATCAATACACAGCATTAAGGTTTTAGGGATCACCCTTACTTCAAATCTTAGTGTGACCACTTTTTCTAGTAATGTGTAGTCAAAACTGCTTCAATGATGCTTGGACTTATGTTCAGAGCCAGACCATACTTCAATGATGAGCAATTGCCAACCATATAATGTATGGAAAACTGCTGTCATGCTGTGGGATGGATATAGTTTTTGTGGACTTTGCCTCCATGGTTTGGTGCAGAAAAAAAAAGTCATCAAAAACAATAAATAATAATATCCTGACCAAAAAACTTACAGCATTGTACAATCACAGGGATGGATAGTAGGTAGCTACCAAACAGGGAGGTACTACTGCCTGGGAAGATATTGGAAGCATAATGTGTTGTCTAATGGTAGACCCTGCTGCCATATGGCATCACGAAAATTGTGACCAAGTCCCAGGTTGCTGATCTGACTTTCTGCTTCATTTACACACAATTGCAGGGTCTCAATTGTTTCGCTTACCATTGACAACACAACATACATATATCGTTTCTCACTTTTGATCTTTCTTTCATTTTTGTATTTATAGTTCTTTATTATTAAAATTATTATTATTATTACAGTTACTGTATTATTATCATCATTATTTTATTTTTTTATTTTTTTTGTTTTATCATAAATTTTATTTATTATGAATTCTTATGCCTATTACTATTATTATTATTATTATTATTATTATTATTATTATTATTATTATTATTATTATTATTATTATTATTTATTATTTATTATGTATTACAGGTTGTACGTCTCTAGTCCGGCATTCTGTGGTCCGGAACGATTTTAGTTTGTCCAATAGGTAGATAGGCAGCTTTTTTTTTTTTTTAATCTTGATTATTATTATTATTATTATTATTATTACAGGAGTATTAAATTTTTGCCCCTCAGGCCCCAATTTGGGTCAGTGACCTATGCCGGGTGGGCTAATCTCATAAAAAAAAAAAAAACGTGAAGAGAAATTAAGGTTGTTTACATCTGGCAGTTCGGCTGCACTCTCTCTCTCTCTGCTTGTCTATACAGAGTACAACATTTAACCCTTCAAATATATAAGCAGTAAATAAGTGTTGCTTTCATATTCTTATGTAGAGTAATGGTGATAAATTTTCACATGTCGCACTTACGAGCAGTCTCACTTTTTTTTTTTTACCATTAATGGTTAGCTACTTATATTGTTCCTTTTATTAACATTAAATAACATTACAGGTACTTCAAGCAACCATATTTATTTTTTACATTAATTTTACTACAGCTAAACTCAGGGTCTTATTTTCTTCAGTTATTGTAGAACCAATTAGTCACTGGTTTCATAAGCTTAACATAAACAATGCCAGCAGCTGTCTGATCTCTCCTAATATTCCATTATTATTAATAAATTGTATTGTTAATTTTTGCACGTGCATTAATTCAATAAAACAAATTCAGAAACATTAATTAAAATATATATGAACAGTAAATAAGTGTTGCTTTCATATTCTTATGTAAAATAGAATGATATATTTCTTTACGTGTATACATATGCGATCTCTCTTTTTTCTTTACCATTATCGTTAGCTACTTCTATTGTTCCATTTATTAACATTAAATAACATTACTAAAACAACCATATTAATTTTACTACAGCTACAACCAAGGTCTTATTTTCTTCAGTTTATATGTAGAACCAGTCAGTCACTGGTGTAATCAACGAAAACAATGCTGTGTCATTTCCTCGTGTGTTTTAATATTCTCACATTATTAATAGAATTTTATTGTTCATTTTGCACACATAAACATTAATTCAATAAAAGACATTCAGTAATAAACAATAATGAATCTTTTTGTACATAAAATGGCGTTGTTTACACGATTATGCCGCGTCGTCTGCCGTTGGCGGGCCATTCAAACCCGTCGAAATTCAAGTTTCCGCCGTCAAAATTTTTTATTTATTTATTTTTGTGTGTTTCCAATAAAATACGTTAAGAATTAAAACTTCCTTGAATTTGAGAAGCTACTATCTGACATTTAACCCTTCAATATGTCTTCAAAGAGACCATGGCGTAGAAAGTGGTGCTAGTGCTTCCAGGCATAAGCACAAGTCACTATCTATCCAGGAAAAGTGAATTTCCATGGTCGGCACCAGTCAGGTCCGAGGTTGCCGGACTAGAGAGCTAACCTGTACTATGTATTAATATGTATTGTTGTTGTTGTTGTTGTTTATTTGTTTGTTGTTGTTGTCATATAAATCATTAAATAAATAAAAATGCGTCGTCGTCGTCAAGTCCCAGGCGAAGTGGGTCAGTGACCTGGGTCAGTGGGCTAATCCCGTAAAAAAATATCCCTATTCTACAGATATTTCCAGTCGGTGTTCTCAGTGCTGCCCCCCACCACACACCCCTCACTTGGCCTATGACAGCATCTGGGAAGGCTTATGCCTTTTCTTAATTTCATTCTGCAGAACTCTTTTATAGTCCAGACTAATACTCTGTGGAACTTCCGGCCAGTGTTCAAATCATCCTGTATCAAACATCTTTTGTTTGGGAGGGCCCTTGAATAATAGTTTTAATAATGACACTTTTCTCATCTTTTCCTGACTTTTACTCATTAAAATAAAATTTTCAACTTCTTTTATAGTTGTAGTATCATCATTAATGCATACATTTTAATACATGACTGTTTTCTGTACATTATCACATTGGACTGTCCTTGGTCTTTGATATTGCAGGGGCTGTGATTGTGTCAACACCTCAGGATATAGCACTCCTTGATGCCCGTGAGAGCAGAAATGTTTCACAAGGTTCAGATTCCTGTGCTGGGTCTTGTAGACAATAAGTGTATTCTCGTGCCCAAAATGTGGACACCAGGAACATATATTTGGCAAGGATGGAGTAAAAATGAAGGAGTTATGTAAGTGTTAGTGTGGGATGACTTGGAGATATAGAAACTCTTGTGTGCAAAAATATATTGGCACTCTTCATTGTCTTACACTCTTAAGTTGGACAAAAATAAATAGATGTGCAATTGATTTTGGGAATTATAAATCCAAACTAATGACTAATTTTTCTTTTCACAGGTGTGGATGTGCTTGGGGATGTGCCTCTAAATCCATTGATTCGTCTTGGGGCAGATAAAGGACAGCCTATAACAGTTTCCCATCCTGATAGTCCTCAGGTAAAACTGCAATACTGTTCTGTATTGTTACTGTGATACATTGTAATGTTAAACTTCCTTTAAGTTATACGTTTTCTGGCTTCTGTCAACCTTTCTTGTCAATTCTTTGTTGTATGAAGTTCATTTTTATCACCAAGTAGCACATTTACAGCTTGGTTCATCAAGAGTGACCTGTGGTACATTACAGTTGTTCCTCAGTACACTAATATCTCCCTTAGCCGGAATCCCTCAAACCCGGAACTCTCCAATATCCTTAATTTAAATTTTCTTGAAAAATTGTTCCCAAAGCCGGAATTTCGAATTCCGGCTTTGGAACATTCTGAGCATTTTCCGTAAAATTCTAAAATTTCGGTTCCAGAAAATTCCAGAAAATTAAGGATGGGGATTTTTCGGGTTTGAGAATAAAAATAATTTTCTGAAATTCCGAGAACATTTTTCCATAACCCGGAAAATTCCGGGGATGAGAAGATTTTCATCTTTGAGAGAATCTGTCGTTACCCAGAAATCTCTCATTCCCGGAAGTGCTCTGCACCAATTGTTCACATAACAGGGATATCACTGTACAGGGTATATCACTGGAGTGGAACAAAATTACCTTGAAATAGTGAACAGTGATACAGGTTACTCAACCACAGCCAGAAAAAATACACCAAAAAATTCCTTTAACATTTATTTCATCTGATTGGGTTGACCCCAGGCTGACTTGTCACACCGACCCCGCAATTAAGCACCTCCTCCGACACCTTAGATAAACAAAACAATTTATATACAGTGGTCCCTCAGTGCAGTACAATTGGACTAGAAGGTTGCTCGTTAACCAGAAAAATTGTTAACCCGAAACCATTGTTTCAATGGTTTTGAATATGGTTCCACCTCACGAAAATTACATACAAACGAAAATAAATGCAGTAAGTACACACTTACTTTGAGGTTGGTAGTAAAAGGCTCCTGGTGATATGATAGGAATTAGAATAGAGTGGAAAAGGCATTAGGGTAGAAAAGTCACCCATGCTGCCATTTCACCCATAAAATTTTAGTTCATGGTGTAATTCAAGATTATTTTCTTTGAATCAACTACTTTCGCTATATATTATCAATATGTAAAAATATATTTCAAAATGACCAATAATTTGACTGAAACACAGAAAAAAGCGTTTATGTTGAAGAGTCTCAAACAAGATGTTCCTTCCTCTGAACCTGTAAACAAACTGGCGTAAGCTTGGTGTGTTGAGTGACTGTTTGGCAGCATAAAACTAGTTTCCTGTACTTCAATTATGTTCAATAATTGTTAAAATGATAAAAAATTTAATGTAAAACTTTTTAAAATGATTGAATAGTACAACCTTCTTGATATTTACTAAAATGGTAAGATTTAACATACAGAACTGATTGGGGACTAATACAACAAGCTAGTGAACAAGAAACATGTTGAATAGTAAGAATACAGTGATCGAGATTGCTCGTTAACCGAAGTGAAGAATCTTATGTAAGATAATTCTTTAACCGAAATTTCGTTAACTAGTAACCAAGGGATCACTATTTTTAGTTCTGCTCGATCTCTAAGCAAAACAGTTTTATTTTCTTGTACATGACTCTTTGTCTCACATTGCCCTCCTCACATCGCACCTCTCACCTCACAAACACCACTCACCTCACAGTACTTCCCTCTCACCTCACAAGGCACCCTCACCTCACAATACTTTCCTCTCCTCACAAAACACCCTCACCTCACAATACTCACTCTCACCACTCCTACAAACTTCCTCACCTCAACACTCCCTCACCTCAACACCCCCTCACCTCACAGCACTCCTCACCTCCACAACACTCATCCACTCACCAACACTCTCTTCCACACCTACAACACCTCCTCATCTCACACCACCTCACCTCCTACACCCACTCCTCACTCCTACCCACAGCTCCTCACCTCTAAACTTCCCTCACCTCCCAACATTTCCTCCTCACCTCCTAACACTTTCCTCACCTCACAACCTTCCCTCACCTCCAACAACTTCCCTCACCACACAACATTTCCTCCTCCGTCCACAGCAACACCCCTCACCTCACCAGCTCCCCTCTCACCTCCTAACAGCTCCCTCACCTCACAACACCTCCCCTCACCTCAACACTTTCCTCACCTCCTAGCACTTCCCCCTCACCTCCCACAACACTTCCCCTCACCTCCACAACACTTCCCCTCACCTCAACACTTTCCCTCACCTCCTAACACTTCCCCTCACCTCCTAACACTTCCTCTTCCTCACGCTTCCCCCACACTCACCTCTGTACTTCCCCACCTCAACACTTTCCTCTCCTCCTGCCCTTCCCCTCACCTCCTAGCACTTCCCCTCACCCTCTAACCACCATCTCACACCTTACCCCCCCTACATTCCATCTCACAACTCGCACCCCTCCAACACCATCCCCTCCACAACCACCTACCCCCTCCACCACTCCTCACTCCCAACCTTACCCCTCCTCAACACTTTCCCTCATTCACAACATCTTTCGCCCCACCTCAACCGCGCCACTCACCTCACGACACGCACACCACGCCCGCACTCACAGCAGCACCATCGCATCACCCAACGCGCACTCCCTCAGCAGCCATCATGCAACGTTTTCAAGCCCCCACCTCAGCGCTTTCCCCAGGCCTCTGGCAGCACCACTCGCATCAGCATACATGCCTCACGCAGCACCACTCACCTCCACCAGCGCGCACTCCGCATCGACGCGCCATCACTCAGCGCCATCGCCTCCACAACGCAGCTACATCGCATCACGAGCATTTCATCATCACCTCCTGACGCGCCACTCGCATCATAACGCAGCTACATGCCTCCGCAACACTTTCCTTCACCTCACGGCGATTTTCATCCTCACTATTAGCACTTTCCCTCCACCTCCTGGCAGCTTCCCCTCCTCTGGCCTTCCCCTCACCCACACAGCATTTCCTCACGTCCTTGCACCCTCACCTCATGGCGGCACTCATCTCACCTCACAACCTTCCCCCCTCACCTCCTGACACCTCACCTCCAACATCCCTCACCTCCCAACACTTCCCCTCACCTCCAACACTTCCCCTCCTCCCCAACTTCCCCTCCTCAACACTTTCCCCACTCCACCCCAACACTTCCCCCTCACCTCCTAACCTTCCCCCTCAACTCCCCTTCCCCCACCTCCCACCACCACCTCACCTCCTGGCACTCCCTCACTCACAACACTCCTCGCACTCACCACTCACCACCCACCCCACACTATTCCCCTACACCTCACACACCATCCCCTCACTTACAAAACCTCCCCTCCTTAACAACCACATCTCCCCTCATCAACAACACCATCACCCCTCACCCACCAGCATACATCCCATCCCTCACAACACCACACCTCACAACATCCTTCCCCTCACCTGACATTTCCCTCAACTCACCCCTAACACTCACCTCCTCATACAACACTCCACTCACATCACCAACACTCACCCTCACTTCCCTCCTCTGTAACTTTCCCCTCACATCCCAACCTTTCCTCACCTCTGCACCCATACATCCTCACCATCACATCACAACATCTCCATCACATCACACCACCACTCCCACCACACCCCCCTCACCTCCTGCCACTTTCCCTCCACACTCCACCATCACCACACATCACAACACTTCTCACTCACCTCCCTAACACTCCCGATCACACCTCAAAACACCTTCCCTCACCTCAAGACACTTATTCCCCCTCACCACAACTTGCTTTCCTCACCTCCCCAACTCCACTCACCTCACAACCCCCACTCCACAACACGCCATACCTCACAACACCACTCACCTCCACAACACCACTCACCCACACAACACTCCCTCCTCCTGGCCTTCCCCTCACTCACAACACTTCCCCTCTTCTTAACAGTTCCCCTCACCTCCAATACTTCCCCCTCCACCTCACAACACCCCTCACCAACTCTCTCCCCCTCACCTCCCACAACATAACACACCTCACCCACCAGCACCACACTCACCTCACATCTCCCCTCACCTCCAACAACACCTCCTCACTCACTCTGGCACCACCACACCTCCACAACACACCACTCACCTCCACAGCACCTCCCCTCACCTTACCATCCACCATCACTCACCTCTGCACTTCCCACTCTCATCCCCACAGCTTCCTCATCACCTCACAACACTTTCCCCTCACCTCCCACAATACTTTCCCTCACCTCACAAGACCTCCCTCACCTTACAACCTTCCCTCACACTCCCCAACACCTCACCTCCTTGCAGCACACTCACACTCACACCGCCCTCACAGCACCACTCCTCACAACTCTTCCCCTCCACCTCACAGCTCTTCCCTCACCTCACAACACTTCCATCACCACTAACACATCACCACTCACTAACACACACCACCTCACCTCCACAACACTTCCCCCACACACTCACTCACCTTACAACATCACCACTCCCCTCACATCACAACCATCTCACTCTTACCTCCACACACACTCTCCCCCACACCTCATCATCCCACACATTACAACACTTCACTCACCTCCCCCTCCACTCACCTCCTTACCCCTCACATCACAACACCCACTCGCCTTGCTTATCCCACTCACATCCATACCCAATCTTCCTCACCTCAACAATATCATCAACAATTTCCTCACCTCCACACTTTCCCTCACCTCCTTACACCACCCCTCACCCTTACAACCACCTCCAACACTTTCCCTCCCCCTCACACTTCCCTCCCATTTGCACTTTCCCCTCACCTCGCACTCTCCCCCACCTCCACAGCTCTTTCCCTCACCTCAACAATTTCCCTCACCTCCCAGCAGTTTCCCCTCACCTCCCACAACACCTCCCCTCACCTACCCCTTTCCCTGACCTCAACCTCTCCCCTCACCCCAACCTCTCCCCTCACCTCACCAACACCTTTCACCTTACAACACTTTCCCTCACCTCACAACCTTTCCCCTCACCTCCCCACTTCCCCTCACCCGTTACAACACTTTCCCCTCACCCCTCAGCACTCTCCCCCACCTCCCACACTCTCCCCTCATCACACCTTTCACCTTACAACAATTTCCCTCACCTCCAACCACTCCCCTCCACATCTTCCTCTCCCTCCAGCCCACAACACATCCTCCCATACAACATCACCACTCAATCTCAACACTTTCCCTCACCTCCCAACTCTTTCCCCTCACCTCACAACACTTTCCCCTCACCTCACACACTTCCCCT